CGAAAAAAAAATACAACTGAAAGGAGTTTTGTCAAACGGGGTTGCCAAGAATAAAACCTAACACCAACCGTTGTATCTTGGAAGATAAACGTCGAACAACCTCCAGCACCCAACCGGTGAGACGACGAATCTGTTTTAAGGGCACTGTCTAGTGCAGGCTTCAGTTTGCTTCCTTTTGCTAGTTTTTTTTTTTTCCTATAAATTCCAGCATGTTCTTATTTTGGAATTCCAATTGTTTGTTCAATATGAATCTATTTGTTTAATTTAATTACATAATATGTACAACAAGATTTACAAAGCCTTAGGCGAATTTTGAAAGTGGGGCTCCCTATATATATTTTTTTATAAAAAAATTTATAGATAAAATAATAATTATCAATAAATTTTTTATTGGTTAGTAGCCAGAAAAAGTTTCCTTACACATATAATCATTAAAAATCATTTTTATATATTAAGATTCAAAGAAATCTACAAAGACTCAAAACAGATAAAATATGATCTTGTTTTTTTTTCAGTTTAGTAATAATCAATACATAATTCATTGATATCTGATAATGAAATGGTTATTTGATTGCAAAACGGAAACTATTGAAAAAAACTTAGAGAAAAAATTAAGGTAAGGTTATTCAATTAAATTATGATAAGAGAGAGTGCAAACAAAATAAGGGGAAAAAATAGGGTAAAATTATTCAATTAAAATATAATAAAGAGAATGGACAAAAAATTTGAGATAAAATTCATTATTCTATTAAAATATTGACATGAGACTATTATTCTCGCATCACTCAGTCTCTCTCTGGCGAGAAGGTACTCTCTCTCTCTCTCTTCTATTTTTAGTTGCTTTTCTGGTTCCTTTGATTTTTGGTGATGGTTAATTTTGTATCTGTGATGTTGATTTGTAGTACTTGAGAGAGCAAGCATCGAGAGACCCTGATAATTACTTCAATTTGGAACTGGACAGTAGTTTGGAAACAAACACTACAAAAAAATTGCTTTTTTGCGACGGCAAAATGCCGTCGCAAATACCCAAAATGCCGTCTCAAAAGGTTTTTTGCGACGGTAAGTGGCTTTTTGCGACGGCAGGTGGGGGGTCGCAACAAAGGGGGTTGCAAAAGGCTTTTAGCGACAGCATAACGCCGTCGCCTTTTTTTTGCGACAGCAAAATGCCTTTTTGCGACAGAAAAATTCTGTCGCAAATAACGTGTGAAAATCTGAGTTTTTTTGAGACGGCACTGAGTTGCCATCGCTAAAAGGGTTATTTGCAACGGCAAAAATACCGTCGCTAAAGTGTTATTTGAGGCAGCACCTGATGCCGTCGCTAATGGACTATTGGCGACGGCAATAACACCGTTGCTAAAGGTCTTCCTTTTCAACCAATTCCCCTATCTTTTGTGACAACATTACTGCCGTCGCAAAAAGACCCTGGTTCTATTTTCTTTTTGAGACGGTGTGTGTGGTGCCGTCTCAAAAAAAAAAAAAACTGAAATAAAATTAAAAAAAAAAAAAAAAAAAAACTGTATTATAATTATTAAAAATATGAAAATAACTTACATTAAATGAAAAATAACTAAAAAAAAAAAAATCGATTTCGACATAATAATATAAATACATACATAAACAAAAGTTGGCACATAATGAAAATTCATAATGCTATTCCATTCATAACAATACATAAATAAAAATTCATAACAATAAAAATTATGCCACTACATAATGTCGCATAATACATACATAATGTTGTACACAAATCTAAATAACGAAAATCAAAACCAAAAGTTTTCGTCATGATCTTCCGTGGGTTACAAAAACAAAAGTTGGTCATAATCTTTACACGCTCGCATTCCACAAGAAGCAAACTGCTACTCAGGAAATATCTGAAAATAACAAAATAAAAATAATTAATGACAATATAATGCTGTTATTATTTTAATTACAGAAAAACATAAAAAAATTAACTACTATATAATTACAAAGATAGTTTAGTAAATAATTTTGGCTAGACAGAAATCTGGCCCTAACTTCCAAACCGGAAACCCAATTAGAGTCCCGTCTTCTCCCACAAGTCTCTCGTGCCTAGGCGGTCGTGTGTGCCAAGTTTCGTGCTAAACCGATGTCGTTTGGTGATTTTGGGGGATCAACACCTCCAATTCAAGTTTCTTAAGGAACTATTTTGCCTAGACCGAAATCCGGCTCTAAATTAAAAATATGGGAAAATAATAAGACTATTCAGAAAAATGAATTTTTGCTTTCATATTAATTTTACCCGGAGGAGAGGGATAAGACGTTTGTCCTTAAGTTCTGCATAATCAATGACTCTATCAACTTCCTTCAAGGCACTCCAACCTTTGCTATTAACTCCATTGCCTTCTTATTTCTACTATACAGCGCTCTCTGCCAAAGAACATAACAATACAGGTTTAAAAATAAAAAAAAATAAAAAAATAAAAACGAAAGAAATAAAGAAAAAATCAATAGGAACAAAATGAGAAAGCAGAATGACTGACCCATTGATTGAATCGTGGAAGATGATGACTGTTCTGCTTCAGAGTACCCTTTACAAAGAATGAACTCAACATTGTTTTTTGTTTTACTTTTTTTTTGGTGTGTTGGAAAGACAAAAATCAGACCATCACTGCACTCAAGTAGCTGCTTGTATTAATCCTGGTCTAGTTTAGCAATTGGATCAACCTACTCACATGAATAATATCTCAGATGAGCTAGTAGTATAGCCTATGATGGTAACATAATAATACATTGTAGCTAACAGTGGTGTATATAACCAGGAATTTCATTCAGAGGGATCATTGAACAAGTCATCATCATCATCAATGCACAAGTAAAATGCATTCAGTATTCCTAATCAACTTCCAAATATATAAATTAAGAGTAAAATGTAATCTGGATTTTGTAAAAGACTATGACACCAAGTTCCAAAAGCTCAAAACAAAAAGCAAATTAGTCCATCTGAAACAACCCAAGGATCCATCTCGACAAAATGCACCTGACAGTATGCAGAGCCTGTATTTCAGTGCAAACCAAAAAGAGAAACGTGAAATCAAAACAGCAAAAGAAACTAAAACCAAACAACTCATCAAAAAATCTCATTGCCAAAACTCAAGTCAAACGCATCTTTTCAACTATATCATGAAACTACTCCATCCTATATGAGTTCAGCATTAATTTACCAGCTAGCCAATCAGCCGAACATCGTTACCAACACTATAAACAGTTATCTGTTTTATTTATATAAACCATACACCTGAGAAGAAAAGTGGGAAAAGCTATGTTTGAATTAAATTGCATACAATCGTTTAAATTGTATTATTATGGGGAGAGAATATCAGGACGAGAGAATATTACAAACAAAACATCAAAATATTTACTTTTTAGCTATTTTTCCATTCATACATGATAAGAAAAGTGGGAAAAGCTATGTTTGAATTAAATCATTACCAGTATCCCAGCCAACACCAATACATCTGTTATCTCCTTTTTTTGATCAAAATCCTGCTTGTGATAATTCAAAAATAACCATCTTTTAGTTAAAATAAATAATTAAAATCCATTTTATTTTGAAGCTACCTTCAAGAGGAATCTCAATCCTACAAGAATATTTCCCACGCATGTTCCTGCTGCGGAAATCTGCATAAACTCTGATTCTCAAAATCTATTCATTACATTGAATTCTTAAAATATAAATAAATAAATAAAACTCTTTCACATTCTAACCATCCATAGTGGTCGTCGCCCGGATTTATCCATTAAGGCTACACCCAAAATGGAAAATGGAATCTGCAAAAGCATACATTAGCTGAGAATTACATCAATCAAAATCCCATATCAAACACACTAGTTAACGACTCAAGTACCTGAATAATAGCCAGTACTGTAGTGCCAAGGGTAGCCGAGCAACCTATAAATTATAGATTCATATATCCATGAATATTTCCTCAAATGGTACGTTTATTTTTAATTAATTCATAATTTAAAATGAGAAACCAAAGGCCCTTAGTTTACCAGCAGACTCAAAAATCGAACTTGCATAGTAGGAAATTGCAACCGTCCCTCCAAAATTGCCAGTAACACTATACCAACTCCAATCTATTGCAATTTGATTTGTTCATAGGAATGTCAGGCAAATCATGAAAATGTGAAGGGTCATAAGATTAAATGTTTTAAGTCTTACAGTTAACGAATGAGCATATTTCCACAGAAACATGTCGATAAAACTAGATTTTGGGAGCTGCTGAGCTAGTTCCAGGTAATCTTGTGACAATAACAGGATTTGTCTCATTTCTTGGGGGAAGAAAATGAAATCCTGAAAACAATATTAGTTTTGTTGTAAAGAGTGACTTCTTTAATTAGAAATTAAATTCGAAATGTTACTCTGATTTCAGCTGCTCCTTGAGAAATATCAACATTTTGTCCCCTAAGGCGTCGTAGACTTGCTTCTAATTCCTTTTGTTTTCCAACCTTTACCTGCAGATGGTTGTACTCATCAATTGCGCATTCTATAATAATTTTATTTTTTATTTTTTGCAGCATCAGCTCAGTGAAATTAAAAAAACATGAAAATAAAATAAAAAGGGAAACCATAAATTTTTCTAATTTTCTTTTGTCAAAATATGTTCTAACATGTTTTGTTTTCTTCTTATTATACCAAAGATAGCAAGGAAAAGAATAGAACAAACATTACAAGAAACCAGTGAAGAAAAAAAAAACAACTTTGAATACTCCTCTTTTTATTTCTCCATTCTTTCAAGCTTGGACTGCTCAATAGCAACGCCAACTAATTTACAATCTCTTATAAAATTTGAATTGAACTCACCAACCATCTTGGAGACTCTGGTATGAAGAATAGACCAATAACCTCTGCTAGGCTTGGTATAGTTCCTGAAACCACAAAATGTACAAGAAATTAAAATGAAACCATCTTTGGACTAATACAAACAGTACAAAAGTAGACTAATTAAATTACCAATTATAGCCAAGGTGCGCCAAGTAACGACATTGCCAACGAAATACACTAGTGACAAGCCACAGGTTAACATTAACTGTAGAATTTCCAAAAGATTTGTTCATAAAAAAGGGTTAATTATCTAATTCAAATCTGAAACTATTTTTTGATTATTTGCCTGATTAACTGCTGTAAATGCTCCTCGACTATTCTTGGGAGTGATTTCACCGATATATGCAAGTGTCTGTTGGTATCTGGCATTGTTAGCTCCATTATGCATTTCATTGAGAAGCAAATCGAATAAGAAAACCAAAGCTTTATGTAACTAGTAATTACCGCAAAACAATGAATCCCAATGCCAAATCCCCCAAAAACTCTTCCAATGTTGAGTCACAAAGCAACCTTTCAACAAACATTGAACATTTATATTAACTATGCCATACATATGAAATAATAAAATGAAATATATTGGCTTAATTTGGATTGTTACTTTTATTTTTGTTTTTTTTAATTAGTGTTTGTGCTCCTTAGAAAAATAATAATTGTAGAAACCAGAATAAGGAAGTTAATATTCATTTAATCAACAAGCAGTTAAGGGCAGTTTATGAGTCTCCCTTGGCGGCTTAGGTTCCTCCAGTGGGACCTGTTTTCCCCTCCCTGTCTTTCGCAGTTCCTTTCTCCTTGTCTATACATTCAAAATACAAACTTTATTTACATTATTATCATACATATTATATACGTATATATTGATATTATAGAGAGAGAGAGAGAGAGAGACCTTAGGAGAAGGTTTTGATAGGAAGTCGTCGGGATTAAGACCGTATCATTCGAGAAACTCTTTCTTCTGATCACTCGAGAGCCCATTATTTGATTCTGAAATTGTCGCATTAAGAAAAAAAGAGTAAGTAAAAAAAGAATTGAAAGATTTGGATTTGTAGAATGGAGACTTACTGGAAGAGTAGACGACAATCGATTGTGGTGGTCGTCGTGGATTGGTGGTTTTGGTTGGAACGTCAACAATAAAGGAAAGATTGGGGGAAGACGAACAACTTAGGTTGGCAGTGGTTGTGTTGTTGAGGCGGAGAGAAGAGAGAAATGAAGGTTGAGGAGACGATGAAACTGCCATTGACAGAGCTCCAACTTTGCTCCGAAAGAGAGAGAGAGAGCATACGTACTGACTGAGCTCAGAGAGAGAGATCGTAACATGCCGTCACCGCATCACCTCTAGCCGTCGTCACTCGTCGAGAGAGATATCGTCGGTGAACACTCGCCGTCGTCGCTGTGATCGTCGGTGAACACGAACACCACTAGCCGTCACCATCGTCGCTCATCGAGAGACGGAGAGAGATCGTCGTCGAACTCGTCTCTGGGGATTTAGGGATTTGGGGGGTTTTGAGGGAGAATGGTGTTAGGGATTTTGGGGGTTTTGAGGGAGAAAGGTGTTAGGGATTTTGGGGATTTTAGGGAATTTAATCGAGCGCCATTTCAGCTGAAGGAGAGAGATGAAATTTCAGACTATTTGCGACGGCGTGGCAAAACCGTCACAAACGATCAAATTCATTTATAAAACGACGCCGTTTTATTAAGGGTTCTTTTTTGCGACAGAGCATTCCCGTCACAATTGTCCACTATTTGCGACGGTAAATTTTACCCGTCTCAAAAAAATATTTTTTGCGACGGTACACAGTGTCGTCGCTAATACTTCCGTATCTAAGTGGCTTTTTGTTCTGTGCTTATTAGCGACGAGGAAACTACCGTCGCAAAAAACATTATTTGAGACGGCTTCATATGCCGTCGCAAAAGACCACTTTTTGCGACGGTTTACACGCTGTCGCAAAAAGTTCCGTGTTATTTGCCCACTTTTCTTGTAGTGAAACGTGGAAAAGTGAGAATGTGAAAGTGATTTGTTATGATTAGTTTCTTGAGCCTCTATCTAAATGCCACATGACAATGACTTCAAGACTCTAAAATAGTTGTACCCTTTTAATTTTTGCGACGGTATACACGCCGTCGCAAAAAGTTCCGTGTTATTTGCCCACTTTTCTTGTAGTGATAGGTTACTATTTTTCAAATTTCTATGTTTTTAGGTCATATATAGGTGTGACTATACTTGATTGTAAAAATATCAAATTTCAATAGATCTATAAACAAACAAACAAAACAAAGAACATTTTATGTATTTTACTAATCTCTTGTTCCAAAAACAAGTTGTTACCTTTTTTCCCCTTTTTTTGATATATAAATTTTAAAGAGGACAAACATTTCAATCTACAATCTCACTTATCTGATTTGTCCAAGAACTTATATGGGACAACTTATATGCAATAATTTGCACAGGTTTAGGCAATTGAACCTATGTTTTTTCTTTCTTTCTTTCTTTCTTTCCCTTCACTTTCCAAAATAAAATAAATAAATATTTATTTTTTCCCTTTTAATTTGGAGTATGTACCAATCATAAGCTTATACATACCATGTGTCTTTGAAAACTTTAATATCATAATAAATAAAATATACTATAATCAGTATTTGTTATCATGTATTTATTAATTTTTTTTTGTCAAGGATGGGGGACTAGAGGTTAGGCTCCCAAAACTCGATTCATGAATATCTTAAATTATATGTATCCAACAAATAATTAAGTGGGTCATTGGTGTTATTTTTCTTGATCACATTGTTGTATCTATCCTCGAATTCAAAATCTAGAAATATAGTAAAAAGACCTACCTGCCCATAACTCCATGCGGTTTTTTTTTTTGTTGGATGGATGGCCAGCAAGCCTTGTAGAGAACCGCAAAATCTCCACAAGCAGTGGGTTGGGTTGAAGTTGGTGCGTCTGTCATGTGCTCAATTTAGGCCCTAATCTTGGCTTATTGGGCCTTCCAACAGACGTAAACTTGAATAATCTTGGGCTAGATTTTTTAACAACAAATGTGCTTAATATATAAATAAATATCTATATAATAAAGCAGAGACATTTGAACGGTTCAGATCTATTCAAATTATAAAATAACGATTGAGATATATTTTTTAAAAAATATTCTACATGTATATTTTCTATTTTTCCGCTTCTCTTTCTTACTTTTTCCTTTTCACACACATCCTTCTATGATATTATGATCCCACATTCCTCTCTCTTTTCTTTTTATTTTTTTATTTTCTCCCATTTTTATTTTTCTCCCTATTTGTTTATTTTTTTTATTTTCTCCTTTTTGTTCACATATTTTATTCATATTATATGGAAAAGTCTGCAATACCAGAATTAGAAGTCAGATTTTACTGTGTGTAGTGGAGATTATATTAATGAATTTTTTAGTCCACAAATTAAAATAATGAATTTGAACAATTAATTATTATTTTTAAATATATTGAATACCTGATAGACTTCGTAAATTTAGACCTTATATGAATTTTTAACATCTATATAATAAGGAGAAATCCTTTCTCTTTCATACGCTTTTCTCTCTCCCCCTCTCCTCTTATGACGACATCGCCACTTACCGACTACAGACCACCGACCACCTCTCCTCGCCTCTTGTTGTCATCGCTCCTCTCGACCACTGACCACTGACCACTGACTCTCTTCTCTCGCCCTTCTGTTTCACCTCTCTCCTCTTGCGACGACATCGCAACCATTTAGAGGTAAACAACTTAAAAATTTGCAATCCATGATATTTTTGTGGGTTTCTCTCCTCTTGGATTTGGGTTACAGTATTTTTGGTTCTTGCTTGAGTTTGGTGATGGGTTTATATGTTCTTTTTGGGAAATGGGTTTCAAAATTTTAGTGTTTCTTTTTGAATTATTTTTCATATAGGTTATAGAATTGAGGGTTATAGGGAGGAACATTGATTGGAAAAGAATTGAGGGTTATATGGAGGGACATTGATTATTATGTATGTTTGATGAGTTTTGTGGTGTGAAAAATTGAATCTTGGGGTCTGAAATGAGCACCCAAAAGCCAGCTGTGACGGTTCGAGACCTAGCTGAGGAAGCCAAGAAGCGGATTGTTTATCTAATCATATGCGTGGTTGGATTGTCTTATCTCATTTCCTGTAAGTTCTGGATTTTTTTGTTTCACTGAATTTTGTTGCAGATTCATCATACTTTTTATTGATTAATGGTGAAGATTCATCTTTTTTGATTAATTCAATTGGGTTATTTATTCTGAATTTTGAATTTGATTGTTGTGTTCATTTGGTTGATGGTAATTTATTCATCATGCACGATATCTTGGCCATTCTTTCCAATTTTTGTAATTGATTATGTAACAATCCAGATTTTTTATTATTCTGTAAAATTTATACTAGTATTATTTAATTACAGTTGGAAAATATACGGTTGATTTTGTATTATTGTGTGTAATTTTGTAAAATAATATAATTAGTAAAAAAATTTAGGGGTCAAAGTATAAATAATAATAATAATAATAATAATAGGTGTGGTAGTAAAATAAATAATTAATTTTCTGTTAATATATGATAGAGTGTAATTTAATTAGAAATTAATTATTTATATGATTATATTAAAATACTAAGTTAAAGTGTAATTATCTTAAATATCTATTAAGAATAAGTATAAATCTATATAATTATTAATCGAATCTGAGCAAGATTCGGGCCACGTATGCGCCTTATCTCCCTATAAATAGGGAGAAGCTGATGTGGGCGGAAAAGAAAGGAAAAGAAGAAAGAATGAGAAGAAAGAATGAGAGGTTATAGGGAGAAGCTGATGTGGGCGGAAAAGAAAGGAAAAGAAGAAAGAATGAGAAGAAAGAATGAGAGGAAGAAAAGAAAGAAAGAGAGTGAGAAAGGAAGGAAAGGAAAGAAAAAACATAATGGAAGTTGAGAGGGTCTTTGGTAGTGGAAAGAACGAGTAAGGTATTAATGTTAAAGTGAATTATATTATATCTTGAGTCACCATAAAATATTTTACGTATGCTTTAACTTACCATAGTTTATTTTCTACAAGTTATGTTTTATAAATTATTATAAACTATATTAATATTTCAGTTATGTGGATTATTTTCTGAACCCTATTTGCTTAAAAGGAAACCCATAGATATGTTTGTTTTTCTTTTAAAGAATATTTGACTATGAACTTATATGTAATTATGTTTTGTAAGTACCACCACGGAAGTCCCATGCCTTGGGGGATTTAAATAACCATTGGCCTCTGTTTAACTAATTTGTGGTCCTCTGTTTGTCATGGATCTATTGACCTCTGTTTTGTGCGGAGCAAAGTGCTGTACGGAACTAAGTGCTACATTGTTGTGAGAGCCACCACTAGAGTTCGTACGAGCCACCTCTTGAATCTGTACATCTGTTCTGACTGTCACTTATGTGACCTCTGTTCTGTTCTGTTCAGTACCGTGGTTATGGTCATTTACTTACATAATTTATGTATTTCAGTTTCTGTCACTTAAATGATCTGTTTACCAAATTATCGTGGTTATAGTTATTTATTTACATAATCTCAGTTTTGCTACTTAACGGATTATTTGTTCTGACTAAGTTATCTTAAATGTTTTGGCTACATAACTATCCATGGTTATTTCATGTCCCTTATACTCTTGGTATAATATTTCTCACTCTGCCATGTGCTTATAGCTGCTTACCAATTTTCAGAAAACATTCAATTCAGAAATAGCTTTTGGAAAGTCTTAGACGCGGGGCTGTAGAATACACATACACAGCACTTTTATGATATGTTAATATGTAAATATCGACCTTTTTAGTCAATAAATTTTGTAATAAAAATAGAAGTTCCAATGATAATTTTGGTACCCTTACTTAAATATTTCTTTCGCTTGCGTTTATTAATTTGTTTAAGAATTGGCCGGAGGTAACCTCAGTTACTGGCCATCGAAATACTTAACCCTTGGGTACGGGGAGCGGGTCGTGACAGATTATATATCTTTTTGTCAGTTCCTTGGAATTTAGGTATATTTTGATGTACAGATAGAAATGAAGAATGTCATTTATGCAGGTTCAATGAGAACTTGCATTGGTGGATGTAACTAAAATTTAAAGCACCTTTTTACATGATATGGAAAAATGAGGCTACACATTTTTGAGTTTGAAATGGTAAAAATCATTAGGTTCCAAATGTAATAGTCTGTTCAAAATTTGATATGCATATTTGAGACATTTGCATTGATTATTATGAGATCAACTCATGTCACGTTCAAGTCATGGATCCAGTGATGTCTTAGATTAGTAATGAGCTTTTACTTTGTTCACTTATTCTTTCTTTTTACTTTTATTTTTCCACAAATTTAATATCCCAATACAACATCAAGGAACCGGCAAGGACTGCTAAATATGTAGTTGAAGTCTTATTTGGGGTTAGACCCAAATGGTGCTCTGCTGAATGGAACCATTAAGAGCACTACAATACATTTTGTAATTTATACATAGAAAAATTAATGTGGTTTAAATTCATTATGGTTGTAGTCTTCACATTACCTAGAATCAATTTGCATATTGATTTTGTATGCATGTTTTTGTGATTTTTATGAATACATGGAATTATTGTCATATTTAATTTAGTTTTGGGATCTTCCCAATTATATAACTCTCCATAAGAAAATGATGTTTTATTTTTTATATATTTAAATTTATTATTAGCAACACATTTAATTATCTATTTCTTGGCGAATTTTAATTGAAAGAACAAGAATTTTGTTTACGAAAGATCCATATCCTTCAGGATCCATCCCTCTGAATCGGATAGTACAACACCAGAACCACAAATATTGTGCACGACGTCCCTGGAGACATCAAGAACGAGCTGAAATCCATTTGGGTTTTTTCTATGTAAAACCCAAATGAGAGAGAGAGAGAGCCAACTGGTTT